GGGGTACTACTAGCTCATAAGTGTGTTCTTGAATGTTTGGCTTGAGCTTTAAGTATATTGAATGAGTGTTTAAGAATTGTATTATTGAGTGTAAAGAAATTTGTATCTAATTTATAGAGACCCAAAGTGTGGCAGTGAGAGAAGTAAATGGGTTGTTGTCAGTGTGACAATTTGCCAAAAGTTTTTGGTTGATTGGAGATTTGGAGATGTGAAATAGATCATATGTGTTTGAGTTCATGGTATACTGCATATGTGTTTTTACTGATTTCAAAGTGGAATATGACTAATACTTATCCAACCTTTATTATGTTAAATGTGACACAAATTTGTATCTTTTTGTGTGAGATCCTAACTGTGGCAGTGAGTTGAGATTTAAGGGGTTTTTAGCATTGTTAAGTTATGCTCACTATGTAAGCTTGATTTGGGATGTGAAAAATAATGGACATGTGTTCGAGTGTATGGTTTAATGCATTTGTGTCTTAAGTGATTAGACACTGATATGTGGCTTATGTTTATTCAACATTTCGTGAGACCAAAAGTGTGGCAGTGAGATGAGAAGTGAATGAGTTTCTGGCAGTGTGACAATTTCAATAAAGTTTTGGTTGTTTCGAGATGTGAAATAGGTCATATGCGTTTGAGTTCATGGTTTACTGTATATGTGTTTTAACTGAATTCACTCAGAAATGTGGTTTGTCTTTATTCAACCCTTTTAGTGTTATGATCGACTAAATGGTAATTGTTTTTATGTGATACATTTCCATGTTTTTCCATTGAGTTTGGTATAAAAGGGGTTACTGGCAGTGTTATAATTTGATAAGATTTATACATAAGGTTTGACACTGTAATGTGACTAACACTTATTCAACCTGTATTGTGTTAAATGTAAAAGAAATTTGTATCATTTTGGTTCAGATCCCAAATGTGGTACTGTTTTGGAGTTAAAAGGGTTTTTGGAAATGTGAAATTTTCCTTGCTATTTAAGGTTGATTGGGTATCTAAAAATAATGGATATGTGTTTGAGTGTATGCTTTACTACATTTGTGTTTTAAGTTATTTGACAATAGAGTATGGCGTATGTTTATTCCACATTTATAGTTTTTAGAATAAAAGTGGTATGTACTTGATTGACTTCCATACTATGGCAGTGAATTTGTTGTAAAAGGGTGTTTTTGGCAATGTAATAATTTGTTAAAATTTATTTACTGAATGGAATTGTGTAATAATATACATATTTTTGGCAATGATGTTATTGTATATGATTTATTCTCCTGCTTCAATTTATGTCTAACTATGGCTTAAATGTTATTTGAATACGTAGTTTGATTTGTGGATATGTGATCTTTATATGTCCGCGTTATGACACATGGGTTTATGGTAGTGTGCTATTTTCATGTTATTATAGTATTTGGCATTTTGTTTGTGAGTATTTTATGGCATCAGTTTTTGTCCATATTGTTTTATGGCATTGTGGGTTGGGCAAAGTGCCTGAGCGTATTATAAAGGTAGTGTGTCTTCTTCATATATTGTAAACTTAAAATGGAAGATTGGATCTACTTATTCATAATACATTATGAATTTTAACAATAAAAACATTATTATTTGTATAGTTTTTTACAAGTTGTGGCAGTGTGATATAGATTTTTTTTAATGTTATTTTGTATTACTTAGAAACATAATAGGTCATTTTTCAAGGTAGTGTGTATGGATTTTGTTTGTCATTGTTTTGTGCGGTGTGAATGCATTTTTTCATTGTCATTGTTTGTCATAGCTCAAAAATTTTACAGTCATTGTCCTGTGTAGTGTGTGCACTTATTTTCATTATGGATTACATATTATTTGAATGTGTATTGAAATATGTGGAGGGGTGATGTCTCTTAAATTTGTATGCTTTATGATTCTTGTAGGATGCTCCAGTGGCGGCCGCCGCGACAGGTGGCTTGCAGGATGAGAGGGTTAGTACGTACTGCAACGTGAATGAAGTTGCAAAACAAATTAAAAACATCTTGACTCTAGGAGAAGTAAAGACTTTTAGGAAATCTGCATTTGGTGATCTATTGGATGTCCTAGAGTTTCAGTGGATAAGCGGTTAGCTACTCATTTTTTGGTCAGAAGTTGTGTAAGGCCTGCTGAAGAGGGAAGCAAAAAGGATAAACTGCCTTAATACTTGGAAATGATGTCACATTGTCTTAATTTTTATGTTGGAGTGGCATTGTTTTAGAAATTTGTTTTAGTCTATATACTGTCGTAACATATGTTGTTATAAAGTTTTAATACTGCATGTAAAGTTTTAATACATGTCTTAGTGAAGTAAAACAACCGTTTTTCTGGTGTTTCATATTGTTTTTGAATTAATAGTGTTTGTAACAATGATTGGATTGTTGTAGACTGCCAAATTAGGTAGTGTTTGAGTTATGTACTACTCCTTCTGTCCCAAATTATAAAACTTGTTCACTATTAGAATCAAATTGCATTCACTTTCTTTTTCTATTTTCGTTAGCAATTTGATAAAATAAAGTACTATTCTCACAACTAGTTTTGTAAATCTTTTGATGAGAGATTTTAATTTGTAATTTTTATATTTTAGCTCTATACCATTTTTCATATAAAATGATTTGAAATTAATTTCAGTCAAAAATCATAAACCGATACAGACACTATAAATTGGGACGGAGGGAGTATTTGATAAGCGAGGAAGTGTCTACTGCTAGAGGAAGATATGCTGGTATAATGTGGTCGTTACGTTGCGATAACATAACGAATGAAATTATGTTCCCACTTCCAAATTATATGAGGTTTGTTTCTGACACGATGTTAATTTAGGAAATGTTTTTTTAACTCATTGCCATTATTGCATATCAGTGTAGACATCATATGCATTTTGATTGTTGCAAACTTCCCGTTTAGACGGCATTTTTTTCGATAAAATGACATAGAAGGTGTGTTTGGAATTGTAACAATAAATCAAAAAATACTACAAACAAATAATTAATACAACACTTCAAAAAAAAGCACTATTATGCTACTCAGTACTTCAAAACTCAATTAAAAAATCACATCATAATGTGAGACATCACACTTCCAGTTTATGCAGTGTTTTGTTTTCCGATAAATTGACATAATAGGTGTTTTCGAATTTGTTTTTCCATAAAATGACATAGCAGTCATGTATACAAAGTAGGCACTTGGCGTGTAGGTACTGTAGATTTGTGTGCACATCAACAATCGGTAAGGACTCAAATAGTGATGTACTTCCGCATTATCGGTAAAGACAATAAGTAGGGGGCAGGACTCGACAATGTAAGACAGATGAACACCATTCTGAGAGCAATCGATGCATATGACACATTTAACAATGTCTAGCAAAGATGAAAGCATAGTATCATTAGGGACCTCGATCATAATGTTATACTTTGTAATGAAAATGCCATGAGTGTCCCATGTTCCATCAACACCTAATAACACCAACAATTGTAAACCCATGCATGTAGATTGTAGAACCAACATAGAGTTATTATAAATGCACAGAGTCCATATCATAAATCTATAACCCAATAAGAAAGTAACAACTAACATGTAAATTTGAATCGTGGTGAATTAGAAAGACACACAGAGCATATTATATAGCACAAACATATACTGTAATAAGAAATTAACCGCTTACCTGTAAATGCAAATGGTGGTGAATAAAAAAGAAACAGATAGCATATTTCATAGCATAGACATGTAACCCAATAATAGATTATCTCAAGTCTTTGCCCTAATATGCTTTGTTAGATAGTTCACAATTCCATTCAAAGAAATCACATCACACTGCCACAGTCCAAAAATCAAACCATAAGAAACAATTGCTTTCATTGTTACACTTCAAATATATTTTGAACAAGTATATCCAATCTTCAAGTCTAAATTCACTAAAAAGCTCATGTTTCACGCTTCCGAACAAAAGGTTAATATATTACTTCAAAAATGTCATATTATGCTACACAGTAATTCACAATTCCATAAAAAACACACCTCACACCGCCAGATTTTGAAAAAATAAACAAACGAATCAAAATGTTTTTATTATTACAATGCCAAATGTATTTTGAATAAGTAGATCCAATTTTCCAGGGTAAATTTACTAAAAAAATGTATCAAAATGGAAGTGCTAGTTGCAGATTAATATTGCTAGTTGTAGATTAAAAAGGCCGGTGGCAGATAAATACACCCTACTTTGAATTTTTTAATCTCTAATGCATGAACAATACATCCCTACAGCTGTAAACCCAAAAAAAACATGGAATACACATTAATGTTACTTGTTGCAAATTACAATGGCATATAAAGAAATCAATTATGAACGAGTGGAAGGAATTATTTACAAAACCTAATGTCAAATTGAGTGGCAAGAGAATGGCAAAAATTGAAATACAGAATATTAGAAAAAACAATTGGCAAAAACCTGATGTCAAATTGATCAGACCAAGACACAGGTTTGCAGAGGATTCTCTAGAAAAAATGAAAAATTGAGCAGCACACAGACGATGCAGTGTAACGAGGATGTAGCGACATATATGGAAACTATCAACTGAACTCCTAAAATCAAGGACCTGAATAGACATCTTAACTTAAATCATTATTAAATTCCAATTAAGAAAAAAAGGGTATTTTTGGAATATTTAGAACAAGTGATATGCTGGATTGCGCTGGGTAGTGCCATAGAAGTCAAAAACGGCATGACACTGCTATAAAGGTAATTTTGGTTGCTTAAAGGTGCTATTTTGGGTGATTTCTTTACTTTTTTAATGTCAGATTTAAGTATTTAACAGATAGACAACATTATGAGTGACGAAGGACGTACTGAACGTGGAAAGAAACAAAAAAGGGAGACTACACTGGTAATATTTAATAAGTAAGAACTAAATATGGAAAATTAGGTATTACTTGTAGTAGGGACCATTTATGTCTAAAAAATAATGAATATTATAAAATAAATGAGATAACGTGGGAGCGAGAGGGGTTTTGCCAGAGTCTGCCCGGTGATTTCCTTCCCTTCGGCTAAGGCTACCGATTGGAGAATTCACTCTTCTTTTCTGTACCTCCTTCGTCCAGACTGCTTCATCTTCCAACCTCATCAAATATTTCCAAACCAGGTAAATCTAAGTATTCTTTCATACTTATGAAAAGAAGATGTTTTTTTTATCACCAATTAGTGATTTTTTTTAATTTTATCGCTTCATGCCAGTTTTTTTTTTCTTTTCAATTTTTTGTTTTATAAGATTCCAGTTCGGTAGCATTATTCTGTTTAAATGTGTGTTAGCCCAATAATCTTTACCACCCTAGCTTTCACAGCATTTAGCTAATTCTTTTTATAGTGATCACTGGTAGCTGTTATTTTGGACCACCTTTTTTCTTCTAAAAAGAGATAGAAAAGTTATAGAAATTATCTTGGGACGGATAATAAGGAAGGTGATAAAACTTTTGTGGGACAAATAGAGTATATTCTAAGGACTTTGTAACTCCCACATAAGACTCTATTGGAAACAATAAAAGAATGACTGAGTTATTTGAGACTTTGAAGTTTGAAATCTTGTTTAAATGTTTCTATTGTTAATCTATGTTAATATCATATTCCCATGTCCTTGGGTGTCTGGTGCAAATAATACTCTATTTGTCTCAAAAGTTCTTTCCACTTTCACTATTCACCCATCCCAAAAAATATTTTCACTTTGAATTAAAATCTCCCTTTTACCCCTACTAATTAATCCCTTCACAAAAAAATTATCTTTCCGTTCACTATTCACAAGGTCAAACGTTATTCACTTTGTTGGCCTTTTCTCGTTGCCCATTTGATAAAATAATATAGTCATGTCACGTCTAGTTTTGTACATCTTTTGATGTAGTTTTTTAATATATAATTTTTATTTTTTAACCCCACACCAATTTTCAAATAAAATGATTTGAAAATAACTTTAGTTAAACATCGTAACGCGCAATGAAAAGATGATTTTTGGACGGAGGGAGTATAAACATACATATCTTATGATATCTTTACACTATTATCCTATGAATTACCTCCTATATATTCTACCCTACTATATAGGAAGGGTTAAATTTGCAAGTAACACCAAAATTACACATTCATTAAATCCCACCCGTTTTCCAAAGTGGAAAAATTCTATAAGGCGGAGGGAGTTTATCATTAACTCAGTAATGTTATTAGAAATGTAATGTGAGATTCCTTTGTATTGTTTAGGTTCCTGTATTATCAGTATAAGTTATTACATGGGATTACCTCCAATCCTTCTGGTAGATAGTGAGGATTGACACGATTAACTTGGGTTTCACCTCAATTAATACAAAGTAGTAACTTAGCACTATCATTTAATGTGCATAGATTTCACAAAAGCCGAGATGAACACTATGTTTCGTTCAAGGAATTTGAAAGGGAAAAGAAAAGAAAATGAAGTGGAAAAAATTTTTCTTGTTTGGTTAGAGATCAGAGGAAAAGAAAGAAAAAGTAGAAGGAAAAGAAAATGAGAAGGCAAAATGTACCAAGTGGAAGGAAAACCAAATTCCTTCCATTTTGGCAAGGAAAATGAGAGAAGATCATTTTCTTTTCTTTTCCTTCCAAACTCCTTGAACCAAACATAGTGGAAAAGAAACATGGAAAGATCCTAAGATCGTTTTGGTTTCGCATTCTTGTGAGGCTTACATTAAACAAGTCAACATTAATAAAGTAGTAGTGTTGTTGATGATGATGAGTAACCAGTTTTTAGTTGTCAGATTTATAACAGGATCATCTTGATTGAGGTTTCATGGATCCTGAATTATATGCAGCCTCCACAGTTACAGCCAGAACAACTAGGAAGGTTAAGATTCAATACCTGTAGTCCTGATGATTTTGAACATTGGGCATTAGTTTTTTAAAAATTAATTTTATTCTGAGTATATTCTTTCTTATTTGATATGCCATTTGCTTGAGAATGAGATTTGATTCTCATGTAACATTATACTGAAAAACTGTATTTTTGAGTGGTATAGGTGAGATTTGCTCCGAAAGCTCCTCCTCGTAGAGCCCAGACGCTTGTTTTGCCGAAACCGTAATTAGACTCATTTTAAACTAAAGTTTATTCAAAAGCAGCATTTTTTAGTTCAAGTTAAGTTAATCCCAACTAACATTTGCAGGGAAAAAGTCGAAGATGATTTTGATGCTGTGAAATCAGAGGAATTGTTGCGCCGCTTCAATGTACTTGCGCCTCATGTTCATTCATGATTCCGTTTTTTTCATGCTGCTGAATGATTCACAGTTTAATTGGATTCTTTTTTACTTTCAATTTTAACTATTTACCTCGGTTTCATGAGAGTATTCTCTTTTAAACCCAGGAGGCTACTACTAGGAAAGCTAAAGTAGAAAAGAAAGGTTAGTTCCTGTGGAAATCTTGAAGTCCAAGTTCTCACTAGTTTTGAAGATTGATTGACCCTTTGTATTATTTCTTCAACAATGTAGGATCAATACAGTTTGTGCCTGCTCCGGAAGGTTTCTTAAAGTCATTAAAATCAAATCTCCCTCCCAAGGGCGCTGACAAGCTTCAGAACTCAGCCTCTAATGATGGAAAGTACCATCTCCATCCATTTTGATGCCGTAAATTTTTTTCTGGTTTATTTTGAAGGCATTTCTTTCTGCAGGCGGTACAGAGGTGCTTCAACCTGAGAAAGAATACACTGAACCTTGGGTTAGTCAAAAGTGGACATCATTTGTCACATATTATTATTGTTGTTGCTGTTGTTATTACCATTACACTAAACATTGATTAATTTTTTTTTATCTTCAAAAGAATTATTATGCATATTATCCTACAACTCTTCCATTGAGAAGGCCTTATTCAGGAAATCCAGGTAAATTCTTGCTATACTGTTTAAAATTGTACTGCACTAATTCATACATAATATTTGTGTATGGGTTTCCTCTTATGCAATTTCTTTTTTTTTTCAATGATTGTTTTTTGTTTCATTTGTAGAGGTTCTTGATGAGAAGGAATTTGGTGAGACTTTGCAGCGTTCGGTTTACAATGAAAGTTTAACAAATTCGGCTGCTGAGCTTGGACTACTCGTTAGTGCACTAATCACTCAAAGTTGATTAAATTCTACTTACTCCATTCTAAAAAGAAGTCACGCTTAAAAACTTATTTGTTAAATAAACTCTATAGTGCATTTTAACAAAAAAGAAAATATATGAAGTACTTTTAGTCCAAGTAGGGGCAAAGTTTGATTACGTTCATCCTATCTCGGTCCATACCCTGTGTGGGGTTTTTACTGAGTTGGTTGAAGTAGTTTTAATGTAATTTTTCCAAAAAACTATTTTGGGGTGACATGAGTTTTTCGTAAGAAGTCGTGGGTCCTCATGGTTTTTAAAAACCGCTAGGGCTCTTTTTTAACAGACTATGAGGATACTTTTCATCACAATTATTTAATATTCCGACGAATGATATGTCAAGCTAAAATAAAGGCTCCGTATTCCATATTTTATCTTTATACGCATTGTCGGTTTGTCTTTAGTTAAGACCACCTTCTCGTTTTTTACTTTCTGATTTTTTTTTTTGCAAACGAAAATAAAATATTATATGGATGATATTCCTTTTTTAGTCAATTGCAAATGGAGAAAAAGAAAACAGAATGTTAAAAATGATATGATAGTCATAACAGAAGCAAGCAGACCATGTGAATAAGTATATAATAGGGAATAACAGGGTCCTAGTGGTATTTTTTTAAATGAGGACTTATGAGTTCTTACTAGAAAACTCACGTCACCCCAAAGTAGTTTTGTGATTTTTCTGATTATTTTTATTTTTTAATGGGAAGTGAGTAGATTAAAAAGTTTTTTTTCATACAAAAAAAAAAATTTGACCTGAATGAATGGGCAGGATGAGGCATTGGAGGGCAACATGTTCTTCCAATTACCGTTGAACTGGCATATGTTAAAGAAGCCAGAAGGGAGTGAAACAACTAGCAACCTGAGGGCTCTATCAAAGGCTAGGCTTTGTAAGCTTGATGAGTTGGGCGATGGGTTTCTTGGCAAAATGCTAGTGTACAAGACTGGAGCTGTCAAGATGAGGCTCGGCGAAAGTCTTTATGATGTATGTCCCTCCCCCCCCCCCCCACACACACACACACCCACCAAGCTGATATAGTTTATGGAGGAATTTACTTAAATAGCACTAAAACATAATGACTTTCCCTAAATAGAACCACATGTGTTTTTCTTCCTAATGTAGCACTTTTAGTCATTATGCATTAGTCATTATTCAAGTAAATATTCACCATCACTGGACATTATGAACATTATTAAGTGCTATTTAGGGAATAAAATAATTTAAGTGCTATTTAGGGAAATGACTTATGTTTTAGTGCTATTTAGTGCAAATATTTCTATAGTTTATGCATAGCTTTTGGTTGGTGCTGTTCTTTTTTACTTTGGGAAACCAATCAAGGGAGGATACATACGACGACTATATATGTATTGCAGGTTTCTCCTGGTATGGACTGTGTTTTTGCTCAGGGTGTTGTTGGAGTTAACATAGAAGAGAAGGCTTGCTGCGATCTTGCTGAGCTTGATAAGCGCGCAGTTCTAACTCTTGATATTGACTCTGTCTTCGCAAGTATTCCTGATTCATGATATCTTTTTCTTCAATTACAAATTTTTTATGGTCATATATTTTCCATGAACATTTTTTTGTAAGGCTAGCACAAGATTTATTCGCCCATTGCAATTCGGATAGTTCATTTTTTTGGGGGGTAACTCTAGGGTGCCCTCAAAGTGGATAATAAGTTTTGGCAATTGTGTGTGGTTTTGTTCTCAGATCTGTAAGAAATAAATACAGATAGTTTTCATAGTTTTTGTGAACTTTTAGGTGATTACAATGGATGCAAGTGGATATGTTACTCCGTAGTTAAGATTGTCACCTCATCAATTCAAAACAACTTAGCTATTGTCACATCATCAAACTACTTCTAAGGTAACATTTAAGAATGAACTACTTGGATAGTAAACATAGAATTCAATTTGAAAGTGAGGGAGTAGCAAATTATATGTAACATTAAATAATGTAAAAAAAATAATCGTATAATAATTATTACTACAAATGTAATTAAGGGTCGGTTCCCATGACATTGATCTCCTCATAGGATCTCCCGGGGGTGCTCCGTTCATAAAATTGATAGTTCCTACCCCCCTAATCCCCCGGTCAATCCCCCACCCCGATTCGAACATACCTCTCATCTCCTTCAATTGCACCCCAAGTTAATTTTGACTTTTGAGTCAGATTTTGATTTCAAAGTCAAAATTAACTTAGGAGTGCAATTGAAGGGGGTGAGGAGTGTGTTCGGATTGGGGCAGGGTGGGTAGTTAGGAGAGTAGGAACCGTCAATTTTACAAATGTGGCACAAGAGCATCCCGAGTCATCCCATGATATTAATTCTTAATGTCATGGAAACCAAGGAGATATAATAATAAAAATATTAGCATTGTTTTTAAATATTTTTTAGAATTATTTAATTTAATCTAAGGTAGCATTAATTCCAAAGCCTTCCCAGAATCCCAGCACTCTCAATTAGTATGAATTTAATAGTTTAATACTAGCTTATTGTTTGCTTGTAAGTACGGAGGTAATGTTAGAACACTGCTAATGCTCCTAACGCCGGAGACTTCATCCGGATAACGCCAGGCTGCTAATATTAGCTTATTGTTCGAGCATCTTATCATCGGTAAATTTTATTTGTTTTTTGATATATATTGTATTTATGTTATTTTGTATATTTTTGTATTAAATATTTTTTCCTTCAATTATACTCCGTATATTTCTTAAAGAATCCGAACAAACGAAAGATGCGATATGGGATCATATCGAGGAGAAGTTCTTTGCGGCAATGAAAAAGGATGCCTCATACTGAACTCGAAACTAATTCACTTTCAAATGGGGCCACATAAACTGTAAAGTTCGAAAGTTTATCGGAGATTACGAGTAATGCTCTCGGTTCTGGAACAACGGGACGAAAAATACTGATGTTCTGAGGCAAGCCACCGCCCGCTATCAAGATGATGGACACTAAGGCAAGTTCCTAATCGATCTTAGGGGAATATTAAGCCATTCACCGAAGTGGAAACATTTTTTTTTATTTTTGGGATTAATATGAACCAAAACCTTGTCTAATAGTAATAAGTATTAAAACAGCATTTTGTTCAATTTATTTTTTCTACTTACTATTTATTTTTATTAAAATCATAACAGATCAGATCAGACCAGATTTGATCAAATCAGACCAGATCAAATAAAAGCAGACCAGATTTAAACAAAATTAAGATTATTATTATTATTATTATTATTATTATTATTATTACTATTATTACCGCCATCATTAGTATTATTATTACTACTATAATATAATGATTATAATTATTATTACTATTGCTATTATTATTATTACTATTAATATTAATAATATTATTATTTTTACTATTATTATTATTATTATTATTACTATTATGACCCTTTTTATTATATTTATTATTATTGTGTTATTATTATAATCATTACTATTATTATTATTACTATTTTTATTACTATTACTGTTATTATGACTATAGTAATTATTACTATTGTTATTTTAATTATTACTATGATTATTATTACTACAAATATTATTATTACTATTATTATTATTAGGATTACTATTATTATCAGTATTATTATCATTGTTACTAATATTATTATTACTGTTACTATTATTAGTATTATTATTATCATTAATACTTCTATTCTTATTATTATTATTTCTATTACTCCGGAGTACTAGTGTTATACTATTATTATTATTATTATTATTATTATTATTATAGTTAATATTACTATCACTATTATTATTACTATTATTATTAATACTATTATTATTATTATTTCTATTATTATTATTATAGTCATTATTATTATTATTACTATTATTATTGTTACTATTAGTAATACTATTATTATTTTTATTGGTATTACTATTATTATTAATATTTCTATTATTATTATTATTACTATTATTATTATTATTATTATTATTACTATTATTATTATTATTATTATTATTATTGTTACATAAATATCCAGTCTTCACCAGACTCACCATCCAGACTTCTTTTAAGTTGATTCATAAACCAGCTCCAAGACTCATTATTTTCCCCCTCAACCACAGCCCAAGCAATAGGGAACATCTGATCATTAGCATCTCTACCAACAGCTGTCAGAAGCATTCCGCCAAGAAAAGTTTTTAAAAAACAACCATCAAGACATATAACTTTTCTACATCCTGCCAAGAAACCTTTTTTCAAAGCCTCAAAGCACACAAACAGTCTTCTAAATTCAGGAGCACCGACTTGCACTCTATGTATGCCTTGACCTTTCCATATGTTTCTGACTGCAAGCTTAAGGATGGTGTTAGGACAAGATAAGTGTAATGCTGCCATATATATAGGTAACTTCTGGTAGTGCTCCTTCATTGACCCATGCAGCATTTTATGTGCCCACCATTTAGCTTTATATGCCACGCACCTTGTGATGAAGTACTTGAACTTCTCTTTTACAGCATCTTGTATATCTTTTGCAGGCCAATGTGGTTTGGCTTTGAAAACATCCAAAAATTCTTTTGCTATCCATTTTGAACCAAGTTGACTATTATTTTTCATGTCTCTATGACAAGTATGTGTAATTGCCACTTTTTTAACCACATACACACCCTTTCTAGAATGCCAAGAACCAACTATTTCAAATGGACATCCTTGAATACATCTCGCACCCAATCTTTCATTTCTATTTTTGTTGCTAACATTAAACACAAGGTTTCTGCCTTGGAATATTCCATACCTTCGAACTGCATCCCTAAACAATTTCCTATTAGGAAACCTCATTCCTGGTTGCCAAACTAACTTTGAGAAATCAGTGTGTGCATCAACAATGGGGACTGACTTTTTCCTCTTTTTTCCACGAATGTCATCCTCCTCACTCTCTCCTGGGGTGTTAGCATACTTATCAGAATCCTCATACTCTGATACAAGATCCCAGGCTTCTGTAGTAGCAGCCCCTAGGGTTGGATTTGGAGTTTGTATAATGGAATTAACAATTCCATCCACTTTTGCATTTTCTTTGTCATGCCAATCGTTGAACTTTCTTCTAGCATCCCTACACTCCTCATCATCAGTGTCACTGTCATATCCTAATAGTACCTCATCATTAAGCATCTCCTCTTCTAAATCTCTCATATTAGTTGTAACGCCCCAAAATATACCCTAGAATTATTAATAAATAAATAATCAATTAATCAAATTGATTTTGATTAAAATAAATTGTTGTTGGACTATGGGCCGAAATAAAATGTGTTTTGATATCCAATATCATAAGCAGGGTAAATCTCATAGAGATAAACCCAATTTGTTGACTATTTGTGTGGTCTTGATTGGGAACCTGAGTACAGACCCAAATCAAGAATAGATGAAGAAAATATTTATGACGTAAACTTTGAAATGATTTATTGAAATAAATCATTAGAACAAATGAGAATAAATTAAATATGAGAACCTTTTATGATAAAGGTCAATTAAACTAATTTTGACTCTGTCGAAGTCAAACACCCAAAAATATGANATAAATATAAAAATTATATCTCGTTGGATAGAGTTTAATTGTCTGATCACAACGGTGCAAACGGAATTCAATTCAGAGAAAGTTGGACCAAAAAGTGTACCCCGACTGGGACCAAAATTAGTCCCAATCAGTGAACGGCGTGTGAAATCCTACAAATCCGCCGTCCTGCGCACTAAATCGATCACCAACGAAGAAATGGAATCCTGAGTCACACCCATGTCTTCTTCTTCACTTCTTCTCCTATAAAAGGAACCCAATCTCATCCATTTCTTCATCAAATTCATTCAAATAAACTCTGAGATGAAGCTGTGAGTGTAGAGAACAAAGTGGGGCTGTCAATTTGGGGTGAAGTCGCCGGAGCTAGCCACAAACCTCGCCGGAAGTCTCGCCGGAAAATTCTCAAAACCTTCGATAAGCTTCGAGGTAAGCCCGTAGATATATCTAGTTACTAGAATGTTCGTATAGATCGTTTCTACGTTCATAAACGCTCATTTGGTTGAGTTTTGTGTTTGACATGCTTGAAGAACCAAGAATCATAAACCATGAATTTGATGTTTAAACTATGAATTAATGATACCAAAATGACCTATGAACCTTGGAGAACATCCCTATATAGTTTCATTGAAGTTCAGCGTCTGAAAATGGATTTTCCGAAAAATGGACCGAAGGTTGAAGAAGATGAACAGTAAGCTGAAACCCACTGTCTGGATCGATCCAGGGGCTTGGATCGATCCCCTGGGAGTGATTTTTCATAGTATGGATCGATCCAGAGGGCTGGATCGATCCCCCGAAGTCCTGATCCGAAAATTTGTCTGAAAATGCTATTTTTGAGCTCTAAAATCCTATTTTTAATACCAATTGATTATGATCATTATAAAAATGATTTACCACAATAAAAATGATGTTTTTAACAACTAAAAATGATATGTGTTGCATGACGGTAAGTTCGGATGTTAACACTCGAAGCTAGGCCGCTATTTGTTATCATTGGTTATGTTAATTGATGATTATGATAAATGAATATTATGGGTGATTATGAGTAATGAACCCACAGATTAAAATAAGTATTTATGATCGAATCATGAGTAAAATGAATACAGTTATAGTTATGAAATGATTTGTAGTGTTAAAGGTATCTAGAGGAACTCTAAGATATACACATTTAGAGAATTGATGTTAAGGCTATCTAGAAGACCTCTAGAATAGAT